AAACAAGAGTTTATTACATATCAAATAATTAACTACTATTTTAATCTTTCAAACTTATGGCTCTTTAACAAGTGTCAAGAGTTTATGGGTTGATTTTAGTTTGGCTTCCTAAATTCTATGGTTTCTGTCATTGAGTTGTCTTCTTTCTCTCTGTATATGTGAACATTGTTACACATCTTTTTTCTCTACGGCTTGGCATTTTAGTCGAATGTGGAAATAATGATGTAACTAGCATACTCAATTGTTAGACCCTTTAGAACACTTCCATTTTCGTTCTGTGAAATATTCCAATTATTCAAGCTTCGTAGACTCCCTTTAGAATAGGTAGAAGAAATATCGATCTAACAACAAAATTTTTTAGTGTTTGTATTAAGTTGACTATAACAGGTGTTTCTCAACTCCCTTAGTCCATTTGCACAGAAACACCTTATTCATTCAAACCTCAAAATTTTCTATTTGCTTAAATTTATTAAATTTAATTTTATTTGCCTTAATTTGGCATAGCTGAAGGGTTTATCACATCATAAAGTCTTTAACTTGACAACCACAGTGGAACAAACACCAGATTGTCAGTATATGATCAATGTCATGGTTTGAAAGTAACATATTCATAAAACCAGGGCTTTTGAGTTACCTCTATAACCAATTGCTTTAGCGTAATATCTCAGCTTTATTACATATATATAATTACATTAACTTCCTAGGTATACATATTTAATTTCTTAAGCTCATTGAGAAGAATATGTTATTGTCTAAGTGTCGTTAAAGGTCAGAAAATTTTATCCTTAGAATTCAATTTCCAAGCAACTGGCCTAGACTAAATTTATCTATTCCACTATTCCATCTATGAAGATTATGATTATTATTGAACGTCCTCAATAAAAGTAGAAACCAATCAACTTTGCAACCTCATATGCAAGATGCCCCATTTTGTCCACTTCTATACATACATAAATGCCAAGCCATTTGATCATCTCTTTGTGATAGGAGAAGACTATCTCAGTCCTCACAAGAGAAGGGTATGTTCGGGTGTATCTATTGGAAAATGATAAAGGGTCATTATCTTACAAGGGTTTAATCTTGCCACTTGCCAAGAGGCCATAACTTCGATTTTTAAGAGATCATTTAATTTAATTGATATTTAAAGAATTTCGAGATTAAAATTTTCTCATTATTCATAACCTCAGAAGATAGTATTTTGTTTAACATGTTTAAAAAGTCCAGTGACTTACAAACTTGTAAATAGAGGAAAAGGAAAGAAAACAAATTCAAACAAGATGAAATGTTTTTTCATGAAAGTGCAAAAAGCTTCATAGTAGATGCATATGACTTTTTCTTGGTCGAAATACCCCATTACTCATTGAACGTCCATGCCCTTAAATCAACTAGATTTTGAACCTTATGCTTCAGTGCTCTATAATTCTAAATGGTGTGTCATGTGCTTCCTAGCTACATACCGCGTTGACATCGTATCCCTCAAGATATAGCGGTTCTTTTGGCTCAGATTAAACTACTCACAAGTATCTTTTTAACAAGTATTGGAAGTAATTTCTCATATGTCATTGGAATCGGGTCAATATGAGTTTTTTTTTTCTGACCATCTTGTAAGGTTTGGCTCCATGATTAGCTGAATAGGATCCCACCATAATGATATCATCTCCTATCTTAGAGCTCTTAGACATCTTCTTCACACCCTACACCAAACCGAAAACCAAACCACAACTCAACCCTCACACTTTCTTAAATACCAAAACCCAAAAAATACTACATTTGAAGATTTCTTTAACTCCAAAAAAGCAAGGAAGTCCACATCTGAGGGTAAGTTTTTTTCGAATGGGATCTTTTTTTCTTTTCGATTCTGGTCTCCACGAATCTATCTTCGTTTCTGCTGCTCTTATCCTTTTTTCGGTCGAATCCCCTCTTGCATGTTATATTTGGTATGTTTTTGTGTTACTTAGGATAGGGTATGACAACCCTAATTTTGTTTTAATTGTTTTCTCTACTTCTTTTACCATTTACCAAGATGATGGAAATGCGATGGTTGAAATGGCAGCGTCAGAGTGATCTGGCCGAGGACACGACAGTGGTAGAAGCATACAGTGGCAGCGGCGGTGATGGCAGTAGGTCTAAGGTTCTAGAAACCCTAGTTATCTTCTCATATGGGCCATTGGATCAAACATAGATCCAATGGCTGGGAGCAAGATGGCTGCTGGGGAATATGAAAAAACCCTAGTTGTGTTGGGTTGTCAAGTTGGGCATGTTGTTTGGGTTGCTGGCCCGTTTGGGTCTTGTAATTAGTTGGGCCATCTTGTAATTAGTTGGGCCATCTATTGTAATTTACAAACAAAATAAAAATAAAAATATTATTAATAATAAAATAAAATAAATAAAAATAATACCATAATAATAATAAATAAATAAATAAAATAATAAAAATAAATCGGACGAAAATGAGTGTAAACACTTATTATGAGCAGAAAAAAGAAAACAAAATTTTAAGAGTAAGAAGGAAAAAAGATCAAACTTTGTGTGTGTGTATATATGAAAAATTTCTAGAAGAGAAATGAAGGGATCTTTAAATAGTACCTTCAGGGATAAGCATTGAGGAAATGATAAGAAGAAAGAGCTCTATGAGAGATTATAATGCTTATCACCAATGACTGCTTCTTACTCATCCTCGCCGCCGACTGCTGCAGATACATACACTGAAGAGCAAATCGTGATCGTGAAGCAAGTCAAGAAGAAGAATAAGGATTATTATGAAATTTTGGGATTAGAAACTGTGTTCCGTTGAAGAAGGAGAGAGAAAAAACTATTGAATATTTTTTAAGCAAAACGGCGTCATATTGTGTTTATTGAGAACTAAAATAATTATCTCGAAATGACTTCGTTTTGGTGATGCATCCACGTTAATAATGTCACTGCGCGGAGCTACCATGTCATTGTGTCGTTAAATCATTAACGGTAGTAGTATAATTGCACTTAAAAGTAAATGTTAGTGCTAAACTTGTTAAAATTGAAACATTAGTGGTATAAACGAGTTAGTGCTTAAAGATTTATGGTATTTGAAGTAGTTTAACCTAATTAATATTATATTTATAGAATATATATAATTTTAATTTTAAGGTTGATGTTAAGAATATTTTTAGATAATACACATAATTCATAAAATCGTGTAGAGGGCCTTAAGATCATCATGTTTTTCAATCAATTTTTGTTAGAGTATGTTATATCATTCATCATTCAACTATCTTCTCGGTAGAGAAAACGGTAGAGTGATCAAAAGAATTTAATTTTTAAAGTTGAATGATTAAATTAAAAAAATTAAATTTTAGTGACCAAGATAATTAAGTTAAAGACATAAATTTGAAAGTTGAAACCCATCGACAAGCCCCACAAACTCAGATGACATAAATGAGAGAAATAAAAAGAAAACAGGGAAAAACACAAGTGATATTGGTGTTTTACGCAATTGAGAACTGTTTTTCCTGCAAATTGTTTTCCTCCTCCCCACAATCCAAGTTAAGGCACTAAAAGATCCCATTTGGGTCAATGATGAATGTACTAAGCTCGAACCCATCTTTTGACTCATCTCATAATCCATTAATGCACTACCAAGGTTGGTTAGATTAAAGTGTATGAATTTTCTAAGTGGTTTGGTGAATCGGGTTATTTCTGTATGATTTTCTATAAATACTTATATTAAACATTGATAAAATATAGATGAAAGTCAAACAGTCGATCAATGTGATTGTCTCGTATGACCAAATGACATCACATCAATTGATTTAATATATCACATCAATGTTCTGTTATTTTATTAATAGTTGTTAATAACGATCGATCAATATGTTATAAATCACTAATGTTATAAATGATCAACTCATCACTTTTAAAATTTTATTGAGAAAAAAAAAAGAAAATCACTAAAACATTAGCGATTATTTATGTATTTTATTGTATAATTAATTTAATGTAGTTTTATTTGTAGGATAAATTACTTATTTGGTTACCCATCTATTACTTATTTTCTGTTATGGTTATATACTTTTTTTTTTCAAAATTATACCTACATTTTGGCCACCAATTGTTAAAAATTAACGGTGATACTAACATGATATTTTTAAAAATTATTTTTCAACACTAACATGACATTATCCTACAGTAACACATCGGCATCACTATTAATTTTTTAACGATAAGTGACCAAAACAAAACAAAAACATAAAATTAGTTATTATTTTAAGAAGAAAAAAGTAGTTGAGTGAAAAACAGAAACTAAATATAGGTAAATGACCAAATAAGTAGTTTACCGTTGTTTTAATGTTGAAAATATCTAAAAACGATGTCAGCCCTTGCTCGGGTTAAAAATCTAGTTTCAGAGTTTAAAAGGGTAAATTACATCATTCCTCACTAATTTTTATCTATTCTCCTATTTTTATTATATTTTTAATTTTTTAATTTATTCACAGAATTTTCGAATGACTCATGTTTTGGTCACTCTAGATTATTTTATTATATATGAATCAATTTATCTCAGTGGTTAAAAGAATTGTTGTTGTTCCTAAAGGTCACGAGTTCAAGCACCAACATTTGAAGCAAGATGATTTAGCGTTTATTGTCAAATAGTTGAGAGTATTTAGAACAAATACTACTTTGTAATCACATTAGCTTAATAAAAAAAAATTGTTGTATTATTATTTTTGTATGATATGATATTTTTTATTAAGAATTAAAATAATCACCTCCAATCGTCGACTGCCTTCAAAATTTGAAGTTATTTTTATATTAAATAATTATAAAAAAAATGTCACATCATATGAAAATAATTGAAAGTGATAAAAATATGAGTAATTCAAAAGTTTAGTGAATAAAATAGAAAAATTAAAAATACAGTGAGTAGAATAAGAAAGAGAGTAAAGTTAAGATAAAATTCTGTAATTTACCAAATTGGGAAGTATGTCTGAACTCTGAAATGAATTGAACTTTCTTTTCCTCCTCATTTCCGATATTCTTCTTCTTCTTAGGGTTCTAATTGGCGGCACACCAAGAAGCTAGGTTGATTTCTTCTGTTGGAATTCAAGTGTTTCTCTTTGGTATATAATAGAGTTTCTGTCCACAGCAAGTGACTCCATCCTCTCATTCACTATTCTCACCATAAGTTTCATTTCCCCATGTTGAGTTTCCTCTCCGAAAGAATCCTCCATGGGAGAAGACCCAACAATATCAAAGCTTTCAAATGCCACAATCTTCAAAACAACCCATCACTTCCATTCTCAACCACTTCAAATCAACAATCATTTACAGTCTCTTACCTCGTGAAAACTTGTGGGTTGTCCCCAGAATCTGCTTCATCAGTCTCCAAACGTGTCAGCTTTGAAACCCCAAGTCAACCCGACTCTGTTATCGCCTTCTTAAAGGACCGTGAATTCTCGAAAACCCAAATCGCAACCATCATCGGTAAGATGCCACGTATACTTTCATCTAGTGTTGAGAAAACCCTTTTGCCCAAAATCACGTTTTTTAACTCTAAAGGGATTTCAAGCTCTGATATTACCAAACTCTTTGTTAAAAATCCACATATTCTTAGAATCAGCTTAGAGAAGAAAATTGTCCCTTCTTTTAACTTCCTTAGCAATCTGTTTCAATCAGATAATGCTGCCTTTGGTACTGTAAATCTACATCCCCGTATTTTTTTATATGATTTTGATTCTTACGTTTTGCCTAATCACAATATTCTGAGGCAAAATGGAGTGCCTGAAGTTAACATAGTTAAGGGACTTCGTCGGGTCCCCAAGGCATTCTTTGTTGCTCCACCTCTGTTTAAAGATGATGTTGAGAAAATAAAGAAAATGGGGTTCAATCCTGCGAGGTTTACTTTTGTTAAAGCTCTATATGTATTGGGTTCAATGAGCAAATCCACTTGGGAGAGAAAGTTTGATGTTTATAAGAAGTGTGGTTGGTCTGAGAAAGAGATTTTAGAAGCTTTTAAGGTTTTTCCCTTGTTAATGGCATTTTCTGAGGATAAAATTAAAGCAGTGATGAATTTCCTTGTGAATGTCATGGGGTTCCAGGCTTTACTTATTGTTAAACGTCCCAATTTGCTAGGAATGAGCATGGAGAAGAGAATTGTTCCAAGGGGGTTTTTCCTTAAAGATCTTGTTTCGAGGGGTTTACTAGAAAAGAAATTGGGGTTGAAGATGTTTCTGATTTCAGAAGAGTTGTTCCTTGAGAGCTTCGTGTATTGTTATGAAGAAAAAGCTTCTGAGCTGCTGAAACTCTATAATGAAAAACTGAACCTTGCTGCAGGGGGAAAGCTTAAGACAGACAAATCATAGAAGATATGTCGAAATATTTTCTTTATCAGTATTCTTTTCTTTCATAATTAACATTGTTGTTTATTGAGTAGAGAGGTTGATCAAACTCAGAGCTTAGATTAGTTGGTTTGTCGGAAGGAATAATTACAGACTCCAGATTGTCTTTACTATTTGGCACTCCATAGAAGCTGTTGCTTAAGATGTCTGTTAACCATTAAGCATAGGTTTTGAAGTTTTTGAAAGAATAATTGAATCTTACATGTTAGTCTTGCTATATTTTAAGTGCAACAATGTAATGTGTGTTCACTTGAGCACCTTATTTTCCTTATTTTTTATGCTATTCTGATGAGCAATATAGATTCCTCTTATATTCTAATCATCTCCTGCTAGTTCATGGTCATATTTACGATCAAGCATAACCATTTTTTACGTCTTTTGTTGGTTTGGTTTCTGTATCACTTAAAAGAAGTGTACAATTTTTCCCTGAATTTACTTTGATCTAATTCGATTATTTCAGAATCATGGGTTAGCTTTGTCGGTGAAAATGGACACGCTAGAGAAGCACAAGTAGAATACTACCCTTCCCACGCTTCAATCACCAATCAAACTCATAAACACAGCCGTAAGCAGCTGGCTGAATCTGCTCATTAAGTGTTTAATGACCTTTGCTCCAACTTTCATTAATTCAAGGAATTCATCATTAAAAATCTTTTCATTGTTAGCAATGCTCGATGCTTTTTACAATTAGCATCCATTTCGGAAATTTCAAGGTTCCTGCTTTCTGCAAAACTCTTTGGCTCCTCTGAACACCACATTATTCATCATTTCCGTGACGCCTAGATGGAGTATAAAGAATGGGGAATTCTACTTTCAACAAAATCGTCCCAATGGAGCTTCAGGTGTGATTATCCATTTATCCATCTTCAATCTTCACTGTTTTTCTTTGAATTTCATCCCAAAAGATTTCTTTTTCCTTTTCAGAAAGATTTTTGCTATGTTTGAATAACTGGGGATTTGGATATATCTATTTGTGTGGGGTTTTATAGGTTTTGGATAGATTCAATATCTGCAACTCCACTAAGAGCTACAGTGTGAAGAAAATCCGGTGGGCGTATCTGGATGCAGAATCCGTTCAGTGGCGGAGTACAAGGCAAGTTCTCCGGAAAGTGGGTATTCGATAACCAACTTGCCATAAGCATGGACAGTCTGATCTGCAATATCAGTATTGGAGATGGCAGCCTCCAAACTGCAATTTGAAGAGGTAAATTTCCCATTTCATTTAACCATTTTCTCATAAGTTAAGAACCATGTTTCGGATTTGCTTATATGTAGCATAGTAGATAGATTCGAATACGAGATATAGCTAAGTCAAGAGTACTTATTGGTATGGTATGAATTAGATGTACTGGCATTGCAGCTAGTACCGTGTGAACAATGGAATGTGATTCTTCCGAGTAGTAAAACTGTGGGTTAATTCCTATCAAAAAAAAAAAAACTGTGGGTTAATGTTTTGACCTTAGATATGGAATTTTCTGTCAATCTTTTTCTCAGAGTTGCTTATTATATAGGTTTCAAGCTTTTATGATAGTAACATAGTTTATAGATTCGAATACGAGGAGCTGTAGTAATTCAAGAACACTAACTGATGTGATATGAATCCGATGTATTAACATCGCAACTAATACCATGTGAATCATGGAATGTGATTCTTATGATCAGTGAAACTGTGTTAATGTTTTGGCCTTAGATAATGGAACTTTCTGTAAACTTTCCTCTATTTTTTCCAGTGCGTAGGTGGAATGTGTATGAAATGTGGGAGAAGTTTAGATAAGAACTAATATTTGCTAACATTTTGCCATTAACCAAGAGTCAAGATTTAGAATCCGGAAGTGAAGGAAATTGCTATAACCAAATCTGGCCTATCACTACAGAGGGCTACTAGGGAAGTGATTCCGACTTGTTGACCATGGCATGGTGGATAAAGTGCTTTCCGGTTCGGGTTCAAAGGTATCTGTTACCAATATTACTCAGCTCTCGGAATATCGAAAAGATGGTCACCTTTCTATTTATAGAAAATTTTGGGAGACTTTGAGCCTCCAGCAATTGGCTAACCCTGCAAGCTACTCGGATTGCATACATTGGTGCTTACCTGGTGTGCCTGATGTGCGGAAATTATTTTAGTGTCTTTGCATATAGCAACCGGGGGGGAGGGTGTTTAATTGTGAATTCTTTGCCTTGGGATAGTTGAGAAAAATGATTGCTTATAAGAATTGACTTCTTCCTTGTGCGTGTGTATAATTTGAGGACCATAGACTATAGAGGAGACTAGTAATAATGATCAGCCCTAAAAGAAAAACAAACCCTGGTGCACCCCTTCTAACCATCTTCTTCAGGAAGACCTCAAGAGCTGACACTCCTCAAAAGTCGTGATCTCTTGATATGATATTTGATAGGTCCACGTGATGTAATCTTTTATAAGCTGATCATATTTATTTAGTCTGTCAATGAGTAGTCATAATGACTCTATGCTTATCACTAGCTCTAAGAGTCGCTATAAAATCTTTCAATTAAGACTGAGATAAATGATTAAACTGTTCTACCTCATGGATACAGAAAATCTTAATATTAGCCAACAATCGCTCCACCTCCGTTTGTGGCTTTTTGTCAAAATGAGAAGGGGGTAAAGTGCCTATAATCGACACAACCAAATTGTCCCATCAACAGTCCCAAAACTAACAGCCAAAAAGATTTGGCAAAAGCATGCTGGATCTGCTTCATTTCATATAGCAACAACTTACCAAAAACTGATATTGTGTCCTGCAAACACCAAACTATTAGGTAATAGTTTCTTTAGTGATAAAAGTGGCAGGTGGAGTAGACAGATGCCCACACCATAATATTGCATTATAATTCACAAATATTTCTCTATTATATAAATAGTATATATAATTATGGACCGAAAACTAAACATAAAAATTATCAAGAAAAAAAAGAAGAAATTATGGCAAAAATGGGGTCCATTTATTTGTGAGAGGCAAAGAATCATTGTTTACAATTTCCACTAGGTAGCATAAAAAGAATAGATAGCAACAAAAACAAAATACTTACATAATTACATTATCAAATCGTGAAGATTTAAGTCGGTCATGCTGTGCTCTCCTCAGCTGCTATAAATACTAGGAGCTGCTCTTCTTTTAAATCATGCCAACATTCTCAGAGGGTTTTCCTTTTCTTTTCCAGTTGGTTTATTTAGCAGCCCTGCTTAGAGGTGTTCGTTTTGTTTCAGAAATTAAGTATAGAAGAATCTGTTAAGCTCAGGAGGGATAGCGCCACACATGATCTTCAAGTTTTTCTAATATTTAAATCCGATCATCGGTGGTGCTATCCATCCTGAGCTCCATGGGTTCTTATTGCTCTCGCGTTGCATGCTCCGATTGAACAACAAAATTCATGCAAATACGTGGTGCTGCATTTTCCTCTGTTCTACAGGCTTTACCAATCTTTAGGAGAAAAAAATTACTAAGTTTTTTGTTGCTTTCAAGTATTGTTTCCAAGTCCAGAAGATACTGTTATTGTTATTCTTCTTCTTCTTTTTGTTCCGTTTAGCTGCATGTGCATCCATAGTTGTAAGCAATCATACATGGTTATGCCTCTGTTAAGATGGTCCGTGTTTATTGTTTTTATCTGGAATTGAGAAAAGTATCAAAGGGTATAGGGCCTAAGTTTGTCCCTGATTTCTTGTAAAGGCTGGACCTATACCTTGGGATTTGTAGTGGTACCTTGCTACTTATTTTGGCTAATTTTTCTCCACATTAGTAAATATGACATGTTTCGGCAAAACTAAATGACAAGATTTGGGTAGAAACTTGATGAGAACAAGTAGGTTACGTCAATAGTTGATAGTTTATTTTTTTAGTTTTAGTAAAGAGTAACAGCCGATGATCAAACGATTATTGCTCGATATTTGATCTTCTATCCCCATAAGGTGGGAGAATAAAGAGTTCCTAAAAAAAATATTTTAACCCTTTTTATAGTCTTAATTGAGAGATTTTATAGTGACTCTAGGTGTTAGTCTTAGTTGTCATAAGATTGTAATAAATATTCGATGATTAATATACTAAATAGATATGATCAATTAATGATAGATTTACTATTAAAAGTTATATCATATGATCCGTCAACAGTCATGTTAAAAGTTGTGACTTTTCGAAGTAAAGGTTCTATAAATTTTATATTTAAATCTTCTTAGATTCTTTGGAAGTTATGAGGTACATGGAGATTTAGAAGTGTATATGGATCTCCGAATATTTTAAGATGCGAAAGAGATTTGAGTGAGGTACAACAAAAATATGAACTTATAGCTTTGTATTTACAGAAGTCGAATCTAAAACTGAATTCAAGAATGAGTAGGGTAAAAATAATGGAAAAAGTTGGATTAGATTGTCAACTGCTCGTATCGGAAATATACATATACGCATGGTTTAAAAAGAACTGACCCAAAGATGAGCGATATAAAAAAAATGCAGTAATCAAAACTATAAACCAGTGAATTTCATGGCTTCTAGGAAGTCCAAATCAGCCTCAGGTGTCAAAAAGTCCATAGTGTAATCTAAACCAAAACCCATCTCATCATCATGGTTGAAGGCTAAGCCATTCCCATGTCTTTGAATGTTGCTCGTTGAAGAAGAATCAACTCGATCAGAATTATAATCTTTTTCTTCCTTAATTAAGGCCAAAGGCTTCGCATCGGCTATGGCTTCGGCCGACAAACCATCCATACGCTCCAATTTGTTCTTGAAGTCGTTAAAGCTATCACCAACAGATGATGGAGTATTAAGTTGTTGCTGGCAGCTCAAAACTGGGGGCTCATCATAAAAATTACCCAAACTGTTGTAGTTATAAAATTTATCTAATCCCCCAGGTTCAACCTCCATTTCCACTTTCATCTCACTTGAAGGCTCAGTTTTCAAGTTATCATCTTCACCAAAGAAACAATTATAACTGGTATCGGATTCGATACTTACTGGCATCTCGGCTTTAACATCCTTCCAAGGCTCCAACTCCAAAATCGAAATACCCGAATCTTGGTCTTCATTATATAGGTAATTATATCTAGAACTGAAGCCATTTGCAGTGTCCTCTGCTAAATATCCTGCTTCCTCCTCCATACAAACTTGAGAACAATTTTGTTTCTCTGTCGAATTACCTTTTAGTAACATCTTTGATTCTTCAACATGTACTACTGCAGGGGACACGTAAGTAGTACTTGATTCCTTTTTAGCTCTGTCTTCATCTAAATCGGATGTCGAACCAGACTCGATTGAACATATCTCAATGGTGGATGAAGCAGACGCTTTGTTGCCGGAATTATCTACCGATCCCTTTGAATGTTCACAGGGGAAATTGAGGCGAGCGTAAGGACCGTACATAGCCTTTGCCGCTTCATCATAAGCAAAAGCTGCATCAATGGCATTAGAGAAGGTTCCAAGCCAAAGCCTGTTGTTCCCTTTACTCACAAGATGATGACCACCGTTGATGGGTTGTCGGATCTCCGCCACCCACTTCCCCCATATCCTTTGCCTTACACCTCTGTACTTGCACCCGGGATTCTCAGGTCCTCCTTTCCCTCTCATACACCCCTTTTTAGAACCTTTGGCAGGAACCTTAGAAACCCTTTGGAGGCCATTATCTTCTTCACTGAACCGAACTTGGCTGTTGTTGTTGTACCTTCTCCACTTCTCAATGGTGTCCTCTACTGATTCACCTCCATTCCTTCTTGCTCTTGCCTTCTTATTCCTACCTCTAGAACTATCCGCCATATCAGAAGAACTGCGCTTTACTTTCATTGGAAACTCAATAACAAGTGAACAAATAGAGGAAATCAGATGTGTGTGTGTGTGTGTATATATATATATATATATATATACCAGTACTAGTAACTTAATGAAGAAAGAAGAAAAGAAAAGAAAAGAAATGGCAGAAAACTTGGTAACAGGGCGCAGCAGCAGGGGTTTTAGCTTTGGCTTTGAAAAGAGCATGAGAAATGGAGATGTTGACGTTGTTATCTATATTTGGTGAAGGATTAGCTGAGGGTTTCTTGGGAACGAAGAAAAAAACACATCAGTAAGCATCATCGGGAAACATTTGTTTGTTTTTGTATTCCCAAAATGGATAAAGAGGGGGACGTGGCACCTTCTGAATGGGTGAAAAGTAGGGAATATAAGTCGTGGCTGAACCCCATACAACGTAGTTGAGTTTTCATCCCCCCATCGTTATCTTGGCGTGGAAGACTTGTCTTTTGATTAGCATTTTTCACCGTGCACACTGCGGCGGCCACTTTTTTATGTTATGTATTTATTTATACATAGGGTAAAGTACACATATGATCCTCAATTATAAGATGTTACCCTTTTAAGTCTTTTAATTATTAAAAATTATAAAATAGACCCTTAATCATAAGACATTACTTTGTTGAATCACTCAATTATTAAAAGTTACAAAATTATCATCAATTATTCATATGTTTTCAACTTATCTTTTTTGGTTAAAAAATTAACATCATTTGAGCTGGACTTTAACATACTGATTGAGATACAATAAAATCGATGTCTACTGACACCATTATTCTCTTAAACTTCAATTCAACGATATAATATTTCAAGCACTAGCTTAAGGGAGGACAAAATTTTATGTAAGGGGATGAACTTCTAAAATTTTAAAAAATGATAAATTTATAAAATTATAGGGGACAAAAATGGATTTTCATTAATATATATATATATATATATAGAAAAAATCTAAAATAGATGATAATTTTAAATTTTCAAGAAGTGACTACCTCCACTTACCCCTTCGATCCATCCATGACTAGCTTGACAACGTAACGTAAATAATGACTCGATCCATAAATAACAACTCAAACAATTTTGTGATTAGATTTTATCATATCTCAATAAGTAAGTTAACGTCCAGCTCAGATAGTCGTTATTTTTAAATAAAAATGACGTTTAGAACATATGAATAGTCAGGAATTTAACAAAGTAATACCTTATAATTAGGGGATTATTTTGTAATTTTCAATAATTCATAGACTTAACAAAGCATTACCTATAATTAAGGACCATTTATGTATTTTACCCTTATAAATATTACAGTAGTATTACATTGGCGTTATTATTTTAAAAATCCCCATAAATTAATTTTTTTGAACAATACTCCCAAACCAGATTTATTAGAAAAATATTCTCAAACTATACACGTAGGACTACCTCATGCCCTAAGAAATGTAAGTAACGGTCTCGCTTTATACAAGGCGCGAGGTTTGTCTAATGTGGACAAACTTTTCATAGAATGCAATTTAATATTGGAATTAATGACCTAGCGTTATGTAAAACGCAAGATTCCTGAGATATTGAAACGTCTAGAGAAATTTATCGCGAGTTGTATTTAACATACCTCACGTTTTCTAATACACGAGGTATGTATTCATTTTTTAATTAAATTTAATCATTTTATTTGTATTTCATAATATATAATAAAATAACATAAAAACTAGATCGTTATAAATAGACAATACTAATTAAAATTAAAATTCAATATCTATGTAAAATGTTACAAAACAAAATTGCTTCATGGTTCTGAAAACAAGAATCATAACAAGTACATATATTGTTATAGTCCATTTGCCAAACTTGGTGGTATGAATTACGTGGACAGTTGGTAGGACAATTGCATGCTTCGATTTGTTCTGAGAAGGCAATGTTAACGATGTCATGATATTGCCCCTAAAAACGGATTCATCTCTGTACGAGTAACTTCTAAATTTATTTTCTTAAATTTCGCGAGATTGAGAGCTCTCACGATTCGAAGTCATTCATCACTTAATTCGCCCCTAAAACAAATTAGAATAAGGCCATAGACATATATGACATTGATATTACCTTGACCGGCTACTTTCTTCAAACAATTTAGACCGAACTCTGAATTTCTTCCATGAAAATAATTATATATGCCATCTCTATATAAAGCTTCATGATTATTAACATCAAGTCATCTTTCGTGAAACATTTTCTCGGCTTAATTCCACGACATAACATGCAAATGTTCCATTAAAACATTATGAAAAATGTAGTTACGATCCACAGCTTCATGAAAACTCTTGCAACTCAACTACATGTTGACGAAATCGACGATATAATTAGAAGTCATATGCACAACAATTTTTTATAACACTTCTCTCGAGAATAATTTGACAATATTAAAACATAATTCGTTTGACATTTTTCTATGAAATAGGTTTAGGAAACTTTCCAAAATGACCCCCTATTTATAATCATCCTCACACCCGTCCCAAGGTGAGGAATCGATGGAACTCACGTTTCCCAGGATACAATGTACGTTTGAATGGGCTTTAAATTGAATAATATCCAACATATCAGAAAAAAACTCACGTTACAAAGGACACTAGTTACGTTAAATTTGAATCGAATAAAATTGAATAAAAAACTGGTTGCAAAACGCGAGGTAATAATTTGTAAAATGGTATTATTATTTTAAAAAAACCCATAAATTAATTTGTAAAAAGATATTATTTTAAAAAAACCCATAAATATCCACTCCGCTTTCTTCATATCCATGTTTGAGATGTTCTCCAATCTAAAATGACTTGATAGACTTGTTCGTTGAATTTTTGGGAAGTTAAATAAAACATTTGTGTAATTTTTGAGCTTAGAGGCGTAGTATTGCAACTTATATTTTAATTGAAACTGAAATGGACACATATGAGAAATTGTAAGAGGGGTGCAAATCGCATTTAAAATGCTTTCAAAAAAAAATGAAAACTAACGAACATATATTTGTAAATAACTTATAGTGTCATAAACAACTCCAAAAATTATCTGAAGCTGTAGATGTGTACATTTTAATTTTAGCACATGAGACAAGTAGATGTTGCCTTCTATAATAAACAGATACCAACACGCTAGAGAAACCCAAAGGAAAACTTCATCTTAGACTTGTGTTCTTGGTACCGTCGGTACAGAGCGCAAAAAAAAAGATCAAAAGCGTTTCTCAAAGGGTGTTCTCATGGACCTAATTGATGGAGTAAGAAGTTCTCGTGAGGCCCAAGCGAAAATCTAGATGCCATAAGAAGAGGATGCCTTGTGTTTTTGGTACCGTCAGTACAAAATATAAAGGAAAAAGTTCAACATCCTTTCGAGAAGTATGAAAGAACCTCGCGTTGTGCGTATTTGTCTTGACCACGAAGAATAATATTTCAATATATCTGATGTTGTCGAGGCACTTATGGTGCATATTTAAGTACGAAAAAGAAAGCGATGCCACCGAAATATGATGTCTTTTTTAAACTAGAAGTTTTCCGAGAAGGGATAAATCATTTATGAAGGAATAATAAGGTTCTATGGAAATGGTTAGGTTCAATGGGATAAGAGGATAAATTTAAATAGGTAAGAAAGTTGAGTGTGCAGATGTGTCTATTAGTGACGTGGCAATGAACTCGTGCATTGCACAACACAAGGTATTTTTCATTTCACACGTCAAACTGCCACGTCAAATCAGTTGCTTCCACGTCAGGAATATCCACGGAACTCGCGTTATGCAAAACGCAAGTTACCTATCACTTCACGTCATGAAATTATTTAAATGCCCATGTCCCTTCTACATCACTTCAAGAAGTTATTCTACTAAAAAATGAGATTTCCATTCAAATCATTATTTCAAGCAAATGAAGGTAAACAAACAAACCATACAGAACTGGAGTGGAGGAAAATATAAGGGAATTGCTCAACGATTGTTTTAATCGTAAGTTTATTTGATGCTTCTCGATTATTACATAGTTTGAAGTAATTACAATTTCATGCATATTTTGTTATTCTCTTTGCATGATCGTCTATATTTTTAAAACATGTCGAGAAGACAAAGTGTTACTACTTTGGTATAGTATGATGGCAAAATGATGCATGATGTATATCTCGACATCGTCTTTCAGTCTCAGATACTGTGACGATAACGCTGTCGAAGAAATTAACTTATAAGAAGTTGATGAATGAAGTCAAGAACAATGTTCCACATGGTCATGGGAAAACAAACTTGAACCGTTGAAGTATGGACTAACAACGTCATTAGAACCATTAACATACTTAATATACAATGTTGATGACAATGGTGATGTGGACATGATGCTTGATTGCCACATGCAATATTCATTAGGAGGGTCACTTGAGTTATATGCAATGTTTTCTAATGATAATGGTGTTACTACTATCCCAAATTTGAGATGAGCAGTTTTAACTTTGATCCTAATGTTCATAGTCCGACAACTAATTTATGTAACGACTTCAACTTATTAAGTACACAAAGTTAGGGAAATGACTTGGATCGTCTTCGATGCCAAGGCATTCTTGTGTTGTTAGCTTGGACTTTGAGCTGAATCTACTACCAACACAACTTGCAACGTATAATTCCATACAATAGTGGTGTGACTGCATTATCTTCTCAACAGGAAATGAGGTTGCAAGAACATGAAGTGTTTAACTCATTCGACGATTTCTCATCATATATGGGGAGACATTCTTGTGTTGGTGCTATCGACGTTTAAAATTGGTAGTATCGTCGTAAGCATTCTCGTGAGTGGTCTCGTGATTGACGCACAACTGTTACTCCTGTTATCCCATAGTTGATAATGCTGAACTATTTCGGTTTAAGAGGGATATTTCTGACAAAGAACCGATAAAAGAGATCAGCCCAGATGGTGACTAGGTAGGCCCCTTCAATGAAGAACCAAAAGTCCTTGACATGCCGAAGAGAGCAAATGATGATAACATTCCACATGTTGTGCCTCATATTTCTTATTACCAGCCATCATTCCATTTCATAACGATTGATATAG